GGCCCCATTAACATCAGGGCGACAGCGTTTCAGCATTTTCGGGCGGTTTTTGTGTGTGTGTTTAGCGCGTTTTACAGGCTTTTTCTGTTCCTATGCAAGAGCGGTCTAAAGCTGGCCATACACCTTACAACCATTGCACCACTTTCATTGTGAGATGGTTGTAAAGTCATTAAAATTTGGTATTTCGTACGACCTGCCCATCTTGGACAGGTTAGATCTTACCTGCGATCATCGCAAGCCCGCCCCGCTGAGGGGAGGGCTTCCGATGACTGCAATGCTGAGCGGGCTTGCGCACACTGGCCCGTGCGGCTTTCGTCTTCCGAGCACGCTACCAACCCGCCGAAAATCGTACGATTTTCGGCAGGTTTTCCAGCGTGCTAAGAAGACGAAAGTCATGCGACCGTACAGTAGAAGCGGTTGCACGCTGCCCATCATACAATAATCGGCACCTTAAGGCTCGTTTTCACTTGTCCAATGAAAAGCAGTCTTAGCTGCAGAAACGCGCTATACACAAAAGCTGATCAGCGAGTTTCCATTGGAGAATATGGAGCAAAACGGGCTGATCAGCGCCACAAAAGAAGCCCAGGGACTATTTCAAGCCACAGGCGTATTGTGAAACACCATTCTAATTTGAATACTTTTCAGCGCTGGAAAAAATAAAAAAGCGCGACGAAACGCCCTGCTGTGAACGGGCCAGAGGACAGTTTTATGTAACGGACATTGGGTAAGCGTTCCCTTCTCGTGCCGCCAGGCAACTTCAAGCCAAACGGCCAAAAATCAATAGCAATGGACATCTCACAAATACAAAGAGACTTTTACAACTTCATCTCTTTATTCGTCACATTTTGGTTTCTCTTTTTAAGTAAATAATACACATAAATAAAAAATAAGTTCCAATGTAGCCAATCAGGTGACAGGATTTCCTGGAACACCTTCCAATAATGGTTGCCCGTGCCCCCCCTGCGCGCCCGTGCCCCCCAGTGTCCCCTCTGCACTCCCGTGTCCCCTCTGCATGCCCG